ATTAAGGAGCCCTATTCCTAGTCCCATATGGGTCCCTACTACAGCTCTATATATATATATATCATTAAGCTCATGAGAAGAGATCTATTCTCTCATAATTTCGAGAAAACATCCGCCCCTCATCTATCTCTCTCTCAGTTCTCATTCGAGCTTTATCTTCTTCTTGTTGCTCCACTGGTATAAGTTGAAGAGGGGTGTTTGAGTAATACAGTAGAAGATTCATAGGTAATCGAGACCCGATAATCTTCTACAGAAGTCGACGAGCCCGAAAAGCTAGACCCGCCGCGAGCCGCCGAGACCCTGCCGGACGGAAGCCGCGACCAACTGGAGGAGCTGACGATCGCGACGCGCCACCCGGCAATCTGACCCGTTCACCCACACGATTCGATCACGATCTACACGAGTTGACCCCGACGTTCCGTTCGTGTGATCCATTTGTTCGTGTGCTGTTGACCGTCATCCTGAAGATCAGTCAGATCGCCATAAAATTTTAAGCCATAAGTTATCTACGTCAAACCTTTAGATCCGCTGTGCATATGTTTACGTTTGCTATTGAATTCGTGATTTGTACATAACAAGACACTCACAGATCCCAACAGTTGGCCTTCTCGACTTTTGCAGGGGTTGTCCTGGCATCAGGATTCGCCGGGAAAAAGTAGAACATGGTGGTCGAATTCAATGTTGAGTTGCCCTTTTTTTTTTTTCGGATGCAATCTTCAAAGTGCCACTGATGGATCTTACCATGTAGAAACCATTTGATTTTTCTTAATTATGGTGCATAGCATCAGTTATTGAATTTTATTTTTTTTTTATTTTTTTATTTTTTTTTTGTAACTGATATTCTGCATCTTTACAATTAATTGCCATAAAATTTGTAAATATGCGTAACATTACCCCATTGTACAATTCCAGTTATTTCCAAATAATGTGGTATAGGTGAAAATTCGTCTCGTTCTTTTGAGATGTAAAAACAACATTTGAATGAAAAGGTTGCACTCAGTGTCCATTCAACAAATAGAAGAGTAGTCAATGAAAAGTAAACTCTCATCACAAGTTCATAATAAATCACAGAGGATTTGGAAGAAATAATATGAATATATGTGCTGCTAAAAAATTCTGATTGGTTGACAACGCATTCTCTCTGAAGAAGCCCTCCTCGAAAACTAGACATGTCATAATCAGTTAATAAATTGGCGGTTACAGTTATAGTTACGGTTGCGGTTTGTAACCGTCGGTTATGATTTGAACCTCTTATTTGCATTTTTTAAACCTGAAAAAAATATCCAAAATATTTGCTAAAAGATGCTCTTCAAAAAATAAGAAAAAGAAAGAGAAAAACACCGGTCTAAGAAAATGGCGTTTGATTGGGTTCTACATAAAAACTTTGAACATGGCTAGTTGCTCCTTTAATGTCACCCCCAAATTCACATATAAAGCACTACTATTTCAAAAGTGAAATTTTATATTTTAAATATTCTAAATAAAATAAAAAGAGAATTGTTTATTTAAAATTTTAGATCTTCTTAACAAATAAAATAATTATTTTTATGTAAAATAACACTCAAAGCTCACTCGCTTTATATGATAATGATTTTTTAATTTATATCTTTGAATAAACTGATAGATAATTTAATTTTTATTTCTAAAAGTAAATATATTATTTATTATTTTATATAGAATATAAATAAGTAATTAATGTCATATATCAAATACCGAAAGCTAATTACACATAAATAAGTGGAATTTTTATTAAAAAAACATATAATTTAAGTAAGTCTAAAATATTAACACAAAAGATTACAAAATACAAAAAGTAACACAAAATTACAAAGTATAAGAAAAAATTAACAAAAAAGTAAGCTAAAAAAACTTCATATTTATTTATGGGAAAGGATGTCAAATGCCACATATCCATTAAACATAACACTCACGAATTTTTTTTTCAACGGCAAATAAGATTAAGTTAAACTCAAAAAGAGTACAATCGGTAATCAATTAGTAGCAAGAATCATCCTAAGTGATAGAAAAAATTATATTATCTATATATATAAATGTAACATAAACATCGATAGACAATTATTTATTTAGAAAAGTTGTACCTCCAACGATAAATGAACTTCGGGAGTCACATTAACATAAGAGCTCCCCCTCCAATGAACATCGCTACAAAAAACTCTCAAACAAGGGATACGAAAAAAATACATAAAGAAGACTAAACTACTCCATAAAGGAGTCTGAATTACTCCAAGAAGGATACTAACAACCAAAAGACAAGAAAAAAGAAAAAAAAAAGAATAAAAAAGAAACAACAAACTAACAAAATAAAACAAAATTAACTATAAACTAAAGCCCTTCCCGACTACCAACAAATTTCACCAACGCTACCACCCGAGCTAGCAAATCAAAGCCAGTTACATAGAGAAGAGGACTATTACGACCCAAAAAAACGATATACAGAAACTCCCGACTCTAAGATGCTGGAACACGCCGACGAGGCGGTCCGTCCCACGGATCGATATCGGATACCAAACATGTACATACATGATTTCCAATACACCCTAGGCATACTCCTAAAGTGTGGACATAGAGATACCTTAGAAGAGAGGCTTTGGTTCATTCAAGGCGATCTTCTAGTCTGTGTCACGACCACGTTTGGACGCTGGATTGGCGGCGATCCTCCAAACTGTTGCAAGGAATGAATTGCGTCTCATCTTCTCCGAACCCTTCACGTTACTTTCTCCTCACGATGGTGGCTGAAAGTATGTCACGTTCTGTGATGATGTGTTAGGGTTCAAGACGTGCAATCTTCTCCTTTTATAGATTGGGCCAGACTAGGGATCTCCTAAAAGGTATAGGGTTTGCGCTCCTTATGGACCCAAATTCTTATGTTCAGCCCAGAACACAATTTGGCCCATAAATATTAATTCATTCCACTAGAGAATTAATATTGCACTCTCGTCCTATCCCGTAATGAATCAGGACTTCCATTAAACTCAATATAATTCCAGTGTTTAAGGTATCGCACAACCATTAATTATTAAAGCTTCTGACTACTTTAATTAATTAATATCTTTTATTCCTTAAATAATACCACTCAACCTTATTATCGTACAAATTAAAACAACATGAGGAGTTTAATATGATAATTCTTATGAGTTCCTTAAGGGGACGTCATCAACCTGGATGTCCTGGACACGGTGCCCTAATGCCAATAAATAGGTACCATGCAGATAATGTCGTTACCCAAAATACAAAACATATTAAACTAATACTTGATTCTCATCTATGGTAAGTCAAAGTAACAAACAAATATTTCACATATTAAAGTATCACAATTAGGGTTAAGAATTAATAAAGTCACCGAGACCTTAGTTCTTCATGACAGTCAGAACAGAAGAACATATCACAGTTAGGGTTAAGAATTAGTAGAGTCACCGAGACCTTAGTTCTTCATGACAGTCAGAACAGAAGAACTCTCAACTGTGATCCTTGCAATGCAACGCAATGCACTATTATAAACCAATAGCCAAGAAAAGCTACATCCAGTTTATACTACAACCTAAACCGATAGTCATGTGCATAACTATATCAGTTGTGAATACAATTTATATCTTATAAGAGACCGACAATGTAATCTTTTTGTGTGACTACTAACACATCACATTGTCTACAATATAAGAAAATTGGACATTTAGTATACAAGTAATCATAAAGAATGCAACAATGTAAAAATATTTATTTCAGACAAATGAGATATCGAATAAATACAATCTAAAAGCTCACATAAACGTTTGCTTTACTGTATACTCCAACACAAGATTGCTAGGGCTAACCAGGCTTGACTTCTTCAGACCCGATCCATCCTTCAACTGGAGGGACCACTACCAAACAACACTCGTCGGCTGAAGACCATCATCCCCCAACCCCGAAAACGCCGAAAATCGAGGTGAAACCCTCCCACAGAAGGGAGGAACCCAACTGGACAAATCCTACCTTGCATATTGGGCTGAGGTTAGGGGGAAGGCAACTCTAGCCCGATGCAGGCTACCTCAAGGTTGGGAAGGAAGCCTGCGACATCGAGGAGGTTAGGCAGCCTGAGAGATTTGATACTCGTGCGAGAGAGAGAGAGAGAGAGAGAGAGAGAGAGAGAGAGAGAGAGAAAAGAAGGCAACACTCATGATTAACTACAATCAGAATAATGTACAAAAATTATATAATTTTTTGTGACATTTCAAATAAAATAATAATGTTACAAAACAAATTATCATAAACAAATTATTATTCGATCTGTTATGAGTTTGACCAGAAAAACGATATTAACATAAAATAAATTATGCAATTTTTTGTGACCTTGCAAGTAAAATAATAAAGTTACGAAATGAGTAAAGAGACAATGTTTTCTCGATCTAAATGGAGGCCCTTGCCTTTAAGAAATCTCCTCGAGCAAAATTCTCGTACTAGCTTAGTGGGCTCCTTCACAGTCCCACGAAGATTTCTAAGTAGTTGTTCCGTTTTATTCCATGACAAGTGAGATCTTCAGGTCTACATGCATAGGAGCAGCTCAAACAAAAAAGAGTTTACTGTTATGAATTCAAGCAAAACCTGCTGATCTGCTCATAAGTCTGAGATCTGATGGACAATCCTTTGGTTTGCTTCTACCTCTATAATCCACCCGTCTCCACATTCCAAAACATTGACAGAGGTCGTCAGGAAAACGACAAATAGGAGACCAAAAAGAGTCCACCTTTATAGTATTCTTATGTGTCATTATTATAAACTGGTCAAATTTGTGGTTAGTAACTTTGTGAAACCAAAAAAAAATCATATCATAAGCTAAGTAATGTTTTAGATGCACGAGTATGATTATTATATCATAAATTGAGATTAAAAAAAAAAGAAAGAAAAAAGAAAAAAGAAAAAAGAAAAAAGAAAAAAGAAAAAAGCGCATACTAAATTAAAATTCACCCCATTATAAATTGTAGAGAATCAGAGCAGAGCTTTCAACCACCCTTCACCAAAACATCAAAACCCCTTGTAGTTGTAGAGAAGCAGAGCAGAGCAGAGCACAACTGTCAATCACTTCACCGAAAAAAACCACAACATTTGCCCATGAATCAAGACCTCTGCAATGAACTTGCCTCACTCGGAGAAAAAAATTATCGTGAGTCGCTCAAAATCAAAAAATGAAAATAAAGATGGAAAGTGGATATTACTACAATATTGGTACAATTGATAAGAAGGAAAAGCAACAGGGAGAACGTGAAAGGGTAACATGAGTGATAGGGAACATATTAGAGGCAAGAAAATTGTTACAGAAAAGTGTTTTGAAATGGATCAGCAACAGAAGAACTAAGAAAAACCGATAAAAAGAAAAGAAAAAACATGAAAGAAAGAAAGAAGAAGAACGAAGATTTAAAATTTCAAATATAAAAAGAGAAGAAAATAAAAGAATGGAGAAGATTTCAAATTTCGATTGAAGATCTCTAATTGATAGTTTAACTTCATTAAAACCACTAATTGATATAATTTAGTTGACATCATTTTTCTTCTGGATCTTGAATTACTAGTTAATCAGTCTATTAAAATGCTAAAAAAAAAAACGTCATATTCAACATTAATAAAATTATTATCGGTGTTAAAGTGCAAAAAAGTTCAAATGGTCAACAATGTCAAAGCACCAAACTCAAAGCGGACCCCAAATCTTTGGAACCTACACAACATAAACCAATAACCTGGAATTTTATCAGCAGTAGTGGGCCACATTTGCCTCTTTTTTGGCGTCTAATATTGCATGTCGCTGCAAGAGATAGAAAAATGTCATAATAGTCTTCATCTATTACAAGTCAATTTGGTCAACGTGCTTGATAGATGGTTAATTTTCCTCTACTCCTTAAAACTTACTTGGCTTTTCTACTTCACAAGTATCTGAAATAGATCATTTTCCTACATCAAAGTTATTATGTTATTTAGTCTTAACTGTGTATTCCCATAATGTTATGACTTGACAAAAACAAACACTGTTTATAATAAAATAGTTAATTAAATCCACAAAACAAAGAACCGGAACTGATCACATGATAATCATGACATGTATTGTGTGGACATTATTTTAAGGTCTATAGAGCGCTTGAAGTTGTGTTTATATACTCATATATAGTATAATAAGATTAAAGATTAACAATAAAGAACAAAATAACCTAAAAACTCAAATTGTGAAGGAAACAAAGGACTATACAACAAAGTAAAGCCAGTCATTCCACAAAAACCATTGTTTCACATAATCACTAAAACGAAGCCAACAATAAAACAACCGGTACTCACCAAGCCTACATAACAAGGGTTAAAACAAAGCAGGTTATAGCGAGAAATCACAAATTATCACGAGCACGAAACAACCAAATCCCAGTAGCAAGAGGCCCCATGATCAGAAAAGAATTTACGAACGGCAAATTCACTACTAGAGTGACGAAGGATTGAGAATTTACCAAAGTTGGGCCTTGAAATCTTACCCACACAGACAACCCTCGCGCGACAGTCAGAAAGCCGTAAGAATTTCGACAATCCCCTGATCGAACCAATTTTACCCTCCACCACCAAAACCCCCTTCGAAACCACGGCGCAGCCACTCAGATTCAGCCGCCTTAATTTATCAGCGAGCCCACAATCGCAGCACCATGAGAGATCCAAGAACTTGAACACGCAGACGGCGGGGGCGGAGGGAGGCCACCGCCTCTCCTTTTTCGGACGTCTGAGGCCGGAATTGTGACCGGTGGGTGTTGGGGTTTGGTTCTTCGTGATCGGAGTGGGCACACAGAGAGCCAAGACTACGGTGTTTGAATTGGAAGAGGGGTGATCGGTTTGTTGGTGATCATGAGTATGGGTAATGACAGAATCTGAACTTTTTCCGCCATCGGAGGATATGGATTTTTGCCGACATAGCTTCTCCAATTCCATGGTTTAGGTTTAGAAAGGAGATTACAGAAAATATGGTATATATATAGTTAGTCTTTGTTAATTGGTCCCCAAGTCTTGCTCCTGTCCTACTCCTATTATTATTTTC